AGTAGCAGTAGTAGTAGTAGTAGCGGTAGTAGTAGTAGTAGTAGTAGTTGTAGTTGTAGTTGTAGTTGTAGTTGTAGTAGTAGTAGTAGTAGTAGTAGTAGCAACAGTAATAATCACAATGCTAATAGTCTTCCTGTTACAAGTAATGCGACTAAGGATGCTAACAAAAATAGTCTTCGGAATATTCGTATTACAGTTGTTGTTATCCTTGCTATCATTCTTATTGTTCCTATTGAGTTATTGTGAGTTCTCAGTCTTCCCATGACTCAGTTTACTCTTCCTGCTACTGTTATTGATTTGTTTTATTCTTCGTCTTGTCTGTTAAAACTATTTTCAGATTTATGTTTTTTGTTGTCGTACATACAAAATGCCATGTTCACGTTTCAAGCTTGCTGTAGGATTTGAAGCTTCTAGAGTTGGATTCAGGGTTCAACGCCTACGGTTCAGAATATCATGTTCATCAAGTTGGGGAGTTGGGCACCGGCTTGGATATCTCCTGGGATGGCATTTTGGAACAGGTATATTCTAGTGCTCAGGGCTGAAACGTGGGTTAACTTTAGGATGCATGAAGCGGCGGGTCTAAGCGTTCAAGTGTCAGTTTTGAAACTGTCGGGCTGAGGCCTAGATATGGGAGTAATATGAGGTCCTGAGTGATTCTTAACTTAACAATTAGACGATGTCTTGGGGTACATTATGGTATACTAGTACAGGGGCTAGAGGGCGATATTATTGATTTGTAATACTGTAATCCGGGACAGTCTCAGAAGGTAGATGACATCCCTAACCGTTGACGTCCAACTGTGGCATCTCGGTAGCTGTGGGATTCAGTGTCTAGAGTAGTTCTTGTGTTTTGATATCCTAGCGGTGGTTGCTTTGACTCTACAGCGATTACCCCTCAAATTGCCATTTGGTCACACAGAGCTGTGTGAGACACTGCTCTCCACTTTTTGGTGGCGCCGCAACATTGGAAGACGGGCATGTATCCTGAGATCCCAAATCCTTAAAAACAAAGCTTCCTAAACCCCACTTAAACGCCCAAAATCCCAAAGCCGAAACACCTGAAAGAACTCGAAACCCAAACCTCACACCCTAAACCCTAAACCCTCGCCGAAAGCCTGAAAGAAGCAAGGCTCGGACAACTGTCCTTCGCGATCCTTTGCTTGGGGACGCCTTTGCTGCATTGCATTGCTTTCGGCTGGGCGGGCCTTGTCACTTGCCCAGAACCAGACAACCAATGAGCAAGCAACTGAGTGGGCTTGGGTACTTCGGGTGCCTGATGATGTTTGCAACGATCGGCACGAATTTTCTGAGCAGGGGTTTGTAAGCTTGAGTACACTTGCGCCGAGTTGTCCAAGGTTTTCACAAGCCGACATGGGTGGGGCACGGGCGTTTGGGGTTTCATCATTGCAGCTATAACTAGCGACTAAGTCACACAGAATGTTCTTGGGTGATCAGGCGACTTAGAAAACAGGTTCCAACTGGGGCTATACCCTAAACCCTAAACCAAAAAGTGACAACCTAACTGCCGCACTTCCAGCCGCATCGATAAACCATTTATTTACCATGTCCCGCAATTCCCGAGCAGAGTGTAGAGATTCTAAGCCGAGTCTACACCCCAAGCCCCATGAACACCCCAGGACGGCTTCGAAGTGCTAGGTGGCTATCTACATCCCCAAACCTCAAACCCTAAGATCTCAGTTTGAAAAAGCTTGGATGCAAGGAGAACCTTAAGCCCCAAGCCGTCAAACCCTGGAGGGTTTTGGGCTTCGGATTTAGGGTTTAGGATTTAGGGTAACCCTCAATCCATGATCTCTCGTTGCACGAGTCCCGTTTGAGCAGGTGACGCGGAAGCAACCCGTCGGATTCTGCTGCGGCTTTCCGGCATGCGCCTGGGACTTCACGAGTGCAACTCGGGTGTTAGGGTTTCGGGTTTAGGTTTTTTTTCATCATCTTGTAACACCAATAAAGATACCTGTAGTAGTCTCGTAATAATTACAATGATAACCAGTCATAAAGGGATTGGTGCGGACACGACTCCTGAAACTATTCCGTTCATAGACTCGGGTCTAAGATGGATATTGGGCTTATGTGGGGCTGTTGGTTTTGGGGTTTTGGGGTTGCGCTTCAGGGTTTCGAGTTCAGGTTTTAGGCTTTAGTGTTCAGGGGTTTAGGGTTCAGGGACCTATCATTCAGGTTTTCGGAGCTGTGTGATTTGCTACGGCATGCCCCCATCAGAAAACGCTACAGATTAGATAAGCGAGCCACCAACTCGATAGGTACTTCGGTCATGCAGGTCCGTCTCACCTCGCACAGCTTGGCCTCACCCTAAGCCCAAGCCCCATGATAGCCCTGATCCTGAGCCTAAATCCCGAACCCTGCCCCTTAACCGGAAGCCGTGGCCCTAAACCCCCCTAAACCCTAACCCCTAAACCCCAAGCCCTAAGCCCTAAACCCCCCTAAACCCTAAGCCCTAAACCCTCAACCCCAACAGCGAAGCTTGGAACGAGTCGTGGAAGGAATTCCAAATCCAAGTTCCGTACGCCCGTATTTGACAGTAACTTCACGATACACCTTAGCATATTTTTCGGGGAGGGTCTTATAGGGTGTTTATAGTGTGTATACACATACACATACACATACACATACACATACACATACACATACACATACACATACACATACATATACATATACATATGCATATATACATATACATATATATATATGCCTATACCTACCTACATACCTACTTACCTATATAGCTATAGCTATAGCTATAGGTTTATACCGTTCTACCTTTATACCTTTATACCTTTAGACGTATATACCTATATACCTATATACCCATATACCCATATACCTATATACCCATATACCTATATACCTATATACCTATATACCTATATACCTATATACCTATATACCTATATACCTATATACCTATATACCTATAAACCTATATACCTATACCTACACCCATACCCATACCCATACCCATACCCATACCTATACCTATACCTATACCTATACCTATACCTATACCTAGACCTAGACCTAGACCTATACCTATACCTACGCCCATACCATACTTGTACTAGTACTTGTACTTATAGTTATAGGTATACATATGCCTATACGTTTACAGAGACATATACATATACATAGACATATACATAGACATATACATATACATATACACACAGACACATATACACACAGAACACACACACACACACATATATATATATATATATTCATATTCATATTCACACAGACACAAAGATACATATACGCACATATACAGCTATACATATACACAAGTATACATACATGTATACATATAACGAACGTGTGTGCGTGCCTATGCGTGTTGCATCTGGAGGATGTTTCCGTTGGTTGGACCGTGTCCAAAAACACACCCTTCTCGGTCGCCGAGGGCATTGTGGCTGTCGTGCCGGTGTTGTATTTGATTCGGAATTGAATGGCTAAGCCCATGAGATTGCACGACATGGGCATTGCGGCGAAGCCAGATTGGGCTTAGCAAATGTAAGCCGAGGCCATCAACATGCGCGAGATGTTCTCAGGTTTGGAAACCAAGCGTTGTTGCGAAGAAGAAACGGAAGCATCTTGCTTGTCGTGTTGTCCGTGCCTCAGACATTGATGTTCACTTCAGTGCACATGCAAATGTGGCAAGCACTGTTCACCCCGCAATGAATTGCATTCCTCGTTTCTAATTGCGTTTTAACTGTGCTGGTGAATGGGGTGCTTCTCGCACATGCCCTGCTGTTGCATTGGTGAGGTGAAAAGCATTTCATATTGCGGGGCCAGAAATGTTCCTCAGATGCACGGCCGGAGGTTTGATGTACATGTTCCACGACGATTTTATGTCCGGGTGTTCGTGAGCCAGCAAGGTGTAGATGTCTGCAGCACCATGTGCTCTTTCGGATGGTCTGGTAATCAAAAAGTTCCGCAATGCCCCGAGAAACTTGGAGCCTGGTCTGCAAGTGCAGAAGCAAACAACATAGGTTGTTGGCTTTACTCGGGGCTTCTGCAGGAACGACACCTGCCTCTAGTTTTTGGTGTGGCTTCTGGTGTGATTCGAGACTTGTATTCGCCAGCTGTTTCAAGCTGATGTCCAAGCAGCGCTTTGGCTTGCAATTAGTTTCACTACGAATTACGCATGAACCAAGCTGGGGTTGAAAGGGTTGCGTGGCTGTAACCCCTGGATGAGGGTGGGTTTCCTTCCGAACGCATCTCACTGAGTGGTTCAGGTTCGGAAGAAGGCGGTGCTGAAGAGTGGTATGCAGAAGATCCAATGAAAGACCTGGCATGCGTCTTTCTAATGTGTCCGCCTTGAGTTGCTGCATCCCGATGCCGTTGTTCAATGTGTGGCGGCAGGACCGACCTCGGCCAGCAGTACCAGTTGCTTGACCTAGTGGATGTTTTTGTGTTTTCAGTGGCTGCAAGCGTCTACAGACACGCTTTAGGCAAAATCACAGCTAAGCAGCTAAGTTTCAGGATGTAGATAAGACAATCAGACCTGCAGTAAAGGACACGAAAGCCGATAACAAGAAGAAGGTGGACAAAGCAATATCCTTGGGGTTCTGATCTTGGTGCTCTCACCCCCAAGAGCGACAGTTGGCAAAAGATGGAAATGAGGCGAAGAGTCAGCTCTGCACATGGGTGGGTCATGTGAAGATGAAGCTTCCAACCTTGCAGACGGGAGCAATGAAGCAAAGGTTGCTTTTTCATATTGGATGCGCAGTGTCGTTTGGTGTGGTTGGGCCATAGACTCTAAGATCGTGTGTGCAACAAACGTCAGGGTATAGTTCACCGGGGGTCAGTTCGTCGGCAGCCGAAAGGGCGGCAAAAAGCCATGGCCTGGACACCGCGTGAGGAGCACCAACAGGAGCCGGGAGACATGATGGGATGTGCACAAATCCCAGTTTTACCTTTGTATCCCGTCTTTCATTAGCTGTTACCAAGGGTTAGGAAAAAAGTTCCAACTTGTTCCAACCACGAACAGGAGCTGCGCAATCCACCGTGGCCGTGCATCTCTTGGAGCTTGCAAGTTGGCAATAGGGCAGGTAATCCTCGATGCTGCAAGACTTCACACATGCACTAGGCAGCATTTGCTGAGCATGGTCGGTCGTGTCAATCTGTGCCCTCAGAGATTTCCTGCCTGTGTTGTGCTGTGTATGTCATTGGCTTGACCGCTAGCCGAGAGCTTTGGGGGTCTGCTGACATGCACGAGACCTGTGTTGTCATCGTTGGACAGATGTGCACCAAGACAGGGCAAAGGTGACAGGAAGGCTTTTCCAATGACCCAAGTCTAGATAGGTTAAATGGCAGCGTGCTGTTTCGAATCGAGCTTGGGTTTCTTTTTCTTTACAGCACAAGAAGCTTCGCAACAGTTTTTCGTCCGAGCCGGAGGCAGTCCGGAGAAGTCCAAGCAACTTCAAGATAATTTAGCTTTGCGTTCTACATTTTCCTCTTCGCCATGTCGTGGTATCCACCACAGGCAGCGCCGGGCGCGAAGGCACTGAGTTGGGCAATACCCCCGTTGAACATTGACCGCTCTAACGGACATCCAGTTTGCCACCAGGTGTTGATGCGGAACTTCCCAAAGAGCTGGGTAGCAGAAGGCGCCGTGGCAGGACCCGGCACAGCCAAGCGATTGTTGATGTACTCAAGGTCTCAAGGTAGGCTTACAGGCTTACAGTTTGCTGGACGTCAGCATGACCCTATGAGAATGAAGCAGAAGGACTGCCGGCCCGAGTCCACAAGCTCCTGTCACGCTTTGGATCCCTTCAAGGGGAGCCTGAGATTTTCGATGGCGGGTTCGACGTGTCTGCTGTGACTGCCATTGCCTGCTTCGAGACCATCGAAGCAGCTCAGGCCAGGGTTCCATACATGTGCCTTTGGCCTGAGAGTGCTAGTGATGACCTGCGATGACGAGTTGGTGGTTAGCACAGGCCGCTGTGCAGACGCTTTGTGGAGCCGACATGCGCACTAACATCGAGAAAAAGGTCTGGCTTCAGATTTGCTCACCGCATTGACGCGGCAAGAGGGTGCACTGTGTCTCTATGTGCATTGAGAGGCTGCTGGCAACAAGCCGCCGCTGGACTCTGAGCGGTTTTGGGCCCAGCTCAAGGCGGCCCCTGCGCCGGCTGCTCCTTCAGGGGTTCCACAGGCAGGTTTTGAAGATGAGCCCAGCAGCTCAGCTTGTGCGTCTTAGCGCTTCTCCCGCTGCGAGGTGCCAAGGAGCGCTTCCTCGGCACCAGCTCAAACACCGGAAGTGAAAGCAGAATCAAAGGGGGAAGCAAAAGGAGAAGCCCGAAGGGCTAAACCCTCCGTGCCACGGTTGCAGTGGATGAAGTCCAAGAGCTTCGTTGCAGGAATTTCTGTATTTTGTTTTACCAGGTGCCTTTGCCTCATGGAGAAACAGAGGAGCTTGTGAAGTCTGATGCGTGGACGGCTCGGTAGTCATTGCGGCATTATCCCCTGTCAGGAGTCTTACATCCTCGTCCGCGGCTTTCCTGCAAGCTGGAAAGAGCCGCAGGTGTCTTGGTTGGGATGGGCTTCTCCGGCACCGCCGCTGATGGTTGTTCAGCGTTGGTGTGCAGTTAGCTTTTGATATTTCCCCATCGTCTCCCTTCAGGTCAAATACCTGTTCGTGGTATTCGGTGGCACATCCTCGGTGATCTTCGTTCCGGATCCTGAGTTTGGACGAGCTGCACAAGTCATGCTGAAGGATGCCGCGGCACTGGCAAGAGCGGCAAGCTCCCTCAATGAAACTGATGTCGGAACCTTGTGCTGTGTTAAGGCTGTGTTGATAGGCCGTGTTGAACATGCTTCCTGGTGTCTGTGCAATGATCAGGAAGCAGGCTAGTCAGTCAGCATTGGGATCAGTGCTTCTCGGTTTCCTTGTTCATTTTGCATCCTGCCAAGGAGATGGTGGCGAACTTAGATGGGAAGCAAGAATTGGATTGTTGCTGCGTTGTGCATGATGCCATGGATTCACAGGGGTCCAGTTGTTGCCGTTTTGGTTTACAAACGGGCAAATGATATCTCGCAAGCAGTCTCGGCTGAGGTGACATGATCGAAGAGTGCCACATCTTGTGTTCGCGCGGGCCGTAGCCAACGAGTGGTTACCGGTTCCATGAAAGTAAGCCGAACCTAGGGTTCCTGGTTGTGCAACGCCGAGGCACGTCTTGGGAAGACATGAGCAGCAGCGCCTTGACGCACAGGCCACCAGCAAAAGTCTTCCGAACACCGGGTTCCTGCCCGCGCTAGGAATGTTGCTATTTGAGCCAAGGTTGCATGCTAACAACAGATTATCCACAGACACATGCTACAGGCTCGAACCAGCACGAACGGAGGCGAAGAAAGGAAGCAAGGATGGATGGAAGGAAGGAAACAAGGAACGAACGAAGCCTGAACACCTGAGAAAACAAAAACGCACGCACACAAATACAACAAGCAAACAAACGAACGAACGAAACCAACCAAACAAACAAACAAACAATGCGAAAGGACGCTGTGCCGGAATAGCACACAAACACTACGCTAAAGTAGAGCGTGCATTGCTCACTCAGCTTCAGATCAAAGTAACCCTGAAAGTCACGGAGCTCCTGTTTCCAGGGACTGCACAAAGTGCTCGTGATCTTGAGCCACTGATGTGGCAAAGTCGGGGGAATGGAGATAATGTGTGTTACTTTCACGCGCCTCCTTGAGGATAGAGTACTGTGTTTATTCTCACACAAAGTATAACACGTAGGCGGAAAGTAGAAGCTCACAGTTAAGCTGGCTTTAGGGGGTTCGTGGTGCGAAGTCGTGTTTTGCGCTGCGCAGAAGTCTGCAACAAATGCCTCATATCTACAGCATCCAATTGTTGCTTCGGAAAGACGAAAGATCATTCGTTGCGCCAGAAGTTGCATTGTCGTGTACCACGGTACATCAAAGCGCAGCGTGGATGATCGGCCCATCAAAGTGCAGCGACCAGCTTGCGAAAGCATAGCAAAGCACCCAAGGACCCAATCAAAAGGCTAAAAGTGGCCCCGAAAAGTGGTACAGATAAACCACTGTATACAAGTGCCCACGGATACGCAGATCCACTGCCTCGCTGGCCGCGATGAAGTATTGGCCAGGAGCGCATCGACGGAAGTTATGTTTCAAAGTCAAACTGCTGAAGAACATACCAAAGTTCTGGCTGCACCGGCAGATGCATCAGCCTGCAGTGCAGCACGTCGTTCGAGTCAATTTAGTTGTTCAGCCCATGCGCCGTGACATAAGGCTGCATGCCATGCCGTACGCATCCAGATCTGATGCCCATTGGCTGCAAAGGTAACCGCAAAATGCTCGGCCAAAACAGGTATTCCAGATACCGGCGCTTCCAAAGTTTCATGGCACCTTTGGCCAACATATGGCCAAACCATGAGTAGGTCGATAACTGAAAGTTACGACCTCCTCATTCAGAGGAAAGTTGTTGACAGTGCCCTGTCGCTCCATGATCGACAGCTAACAGCTGTAGAAAAGTAAAGGGCTTCGTGGCGAAAGTGCCACGTTTAGGCATCCATCCAGCGTTCCAAGAACATCGGCAAAGTTGACGCAAAGTTCATGCCCGGCCGCGCCCAGGGCTCGATGCAACACAGAAAGTGGCAAAGTCGGGTACGGCATGAACGGGCACCGACCATCTGCCTGCCCAGGCAAAAGTTGCACTGGCTCCGGACGATGAAGCCATTGAAAGTAGGTTCGACTGATGACAATAGTTCAGCAGGCGTAATCGTCAGGTCGGGCAACAATGTACCAGAATACATCATAGCCTTCAGCAAAGCAAAGTCGGGCAGGTGTGGGGTCGATGGTCGCCAAAGTTGCTCTTGTTGGCGGCCCTAGAACAAAATTCGCACCATCATTTCCAAAGTAATCAAGTAATCCAGAAACGGTAGTTGGAACAGTTTGGTACAAGTTGCCTGCCGCCAAACCATGGCCAAAAGTAGGCCGTTCGATGCTCGGCGGCGAAGTCTTCTTCGGCGCCAACTTTAGCGCGTAAGCAAAAGTGCCGAAAGTCGGCGGATCAATGCTCGCGCTTGCCTGCGAGCCAAGGCACCCCAGTATCGGCCAAAGTTCAGCAAAGGTGGACTCAGCAAGCAGATAAGGAAAACATACGAGGAGCATGCAAGAGCCGCACATGCCGTTGGTTGGCGTTATCATCCGCTATCGCGGGCTTGGGCTTTTGCCCACTGTGATTTGGCCACATGTCGGGATTTCCAAAACGACACACTTTGGCAAGGCACGGGTGACTGCGACGAGACAGGACAGGACGATGTAAAGACAGAGGAGCGGGACATGAGATGACGATGAGTTTTTCGGCGCGTAAGCATGCCAGGCACCAGGAATGGCATGCTAAAACTATGGTCCGTTGGGGTAGGGTTCTCCCCCGGTGTGCCAGACTCAAGCAATGGCACACCAAGTGAGATGAAAGGAGTAAATGTAGCCCCAGCTGCCCGCACTGGAGCCCAGGATGGATACAAGCAGGTACGTTTGCACGGGATTGGGGAGGGGTGGCTTCGTTGACCAGGACCCCCTCCCACAAACAAACAAGCAAGCAAGCAAGCAAGAAAGCAAACAAACAAACAAACAAACAACAAGCAAGCAAGCAAGCGAGCAAGCAAGCAAGCAAGCAAACAATCAAACAAACAAACAAACGAACAAAGCAAAGCAAGCAAGCAAGCAATCAAGCAAGCAAGCAGCAACCAAAAACACAAACAGACACACATACAAGCACACACAAATACAAACAAACAAACAAACAAACAAGCATTTAGCAAGCAAGCAAGCAAAGAAACAAACAAACTAACTAGCTAACTAACTAACTAACTAACTAACCAACTAACCAACTAACCAACTAACCAACTAACCAACTAACCAACTGACTAACTAACTAACTAACTAACTACCTAACTAACTAACTAACTAACTAACAAACTAAACTAAACTAAACCAAACCAAACCTAACTAACTAACTAACTAACTAACAAACTAACAAACTAACTAACTACCTAACTACCTAACTACCTAACTACCTAACTACCTAACTACCTAACTACCTAACTAACTAACTAACTAACTAACTAACTGAGTAACACACGCACACACACACATATACACATACACGAACATACCAACATACCACCAAACCAGCACAAAACACACAACCACACAAACAAAAACAAACACACGCACATACACACACAGCAAACAACCACACACACACACACAGCCACAGCCAAAGCGACAGCGATTTCGACAGGCACAGGCACAGCCACACCCACACACTTACTGGAGGCGGCATGCTCACGGAACGTTGTTGCGGACGTGTGCATCTTGAGTATGGTGGATCATGGATCAAAGCTGTCGCCAATGAGTGTCGGTCAGGAGCAGCGCCAGCGGAAGGCAGAGGTCAAGGCAGCAGAAAAAGAAAAGAAGCGGGAGGAGAAGGAGCGCCGACGTCGTGAGAAGGAGGCCAGGGCTGTGAAGGGCTGCCTCCAGAAGCGGTTGCCACAGGGTCAGGCCCAGTTCGAAGCCTAAGCCCGTGCGAGTCGACGATGCTTCGGTGGCAAGACATGGCAAGACATGGCAGACGACCCTGCAGATGAGACTAGGTCCAATGCTTGGGTCCGTGGCTAGACGAACTCATGAGTAGGTTTAGTTTAGTGTTGATGGTACAGGATTTAGCGAGTTTAGTGTTTAGCGAGCCTGCCTTCGTCAAATGGTATCTGCAAAGGATGCTGCTTCGAGCTTGGTCCTCAAGAGCTGCAGGTTCAAAACGTTACGTAGTGCAGCCAAACGATTAGGAACACCAAGGATTTCTCAATGGTTGCACTGTGGGGGGAAGCCTTTGCGGCAGGATGTAGGGCTGCCCCACATGGTGTCTCCTCCAAACCCTCAGGAACTGAGGGTCCTTCCCTCTCCACCGTGGGAGGGGCACATAGGCGCTGACCATGGCACCCATGCCACATCCACAACCACAGTGGGGGGGCACAACGTGGACCGGACAAGACGTGTCAGTTCCTTCTCCAACTGGATTCGGGTCCAGACACTGACGAGTGAAGATGCATTCATTGATCGAGCGATCAACTTGATTGCTCCTCCCTGCAAGATCCTGCAGTGGCATTTGGGCCGAAGGTCCCTACATGCTAATGACACGGTCAATATTTAACAGAATCGACAGGGGCAGACCCAAAACTGCAAAGAGGCACAGCTGTGCTCTGTTCCGGTGCGAACCAACCTGCCCGAACAAAAGAAGAGCATTCCGCAGATCACACGCTACTGTTTGCATCTCTAACGACATTGCCCCGCCTGTCGCCCTAGCCCGAGCCCGGACTCACCTGCCTACAGGGGAGAGGCGTATCACACAAACGCCCAAACCCATCCACTCCCAGGAAGGGGAGGGGGTACCATCCGATGAAGGGCAAGGGGGGGTTTTGGCAACGCTCTGCCCCATACAGCAAAGACCGCTTTGTTTAGGGCGCCTTTGTTCCGTTCGCAATTTTTGGCGTGTGTTGAGCAGGAAAAGAGGAGAAGACAAGCAGCAGAGCAGGAGAGGATAAATGAGGAGGAGCGCTTGCGGCAGGAAGCCGCCGAGGCGGAACGCCAGCGCTTGGAGGCTGAGGAAGAAGCACGCTTAAAGCGGCAAGTCGAAGAGGAGGAGGAGCAGCTCAGAAGGGAGGCTGAAGAGGAAGAAGAGCGGTTGAGACAGGAGGCCGAAGAAGAGGAGGAGCGCCTCAGGCAGGAGCAGCTTGAGATGGAGGAGCTCCAGCAAAGAGAAGAGGAGGAGCTTCGGCAGCTCGAACGACGGGAAGCCGAGGCCGGGCTGCTCCGAGTAGGTAATGTTCGTGCAAGCTTCCGTGCTTTTTTTCTCCAGTGCCGTGACAGGAGGCCCAGCGCCGTCGGCGAGCTGCAGAGGAGGCTCGCACCTGGCGGGCACGCCCATTCCTGATGCTTCCCAATCTCGCGGGCCAGGCCGAACAGCGCATGTGGGAGGCAGAGGAGCGAAGAAGGAGAGAGGCTGGTGTGGTCACTGTAGTATCAGCAGTTGCTAGTCATGTCTTTCGCCGTTGGAACAAGGGGCATACAGGGGCATCGTTGCAGCACCCGGGCTTCGGACAAGGCAGAGGAGGAAGAGAGATTACGAAGAGAAGCTGAAGAAGAGGAGGAGCGGATGCGAGCAGAAGCAGAGGAGGAGGAGAGACTCAAAAGAGAGGCAGAGGAGGAAGAGGAGCGCCTCCGACAAGAAGCGTTGGAAGAAGAGGAGGAGATGTCTTGGATTATATATACTCTACGGCACGATGTACAAGCACTGCGGTTGCGCCGTTGACCTCATCCATCCTTCATGGTTCAGCTCGTAGTCTCACTCAATTAGGTAGTTCGTACGGAGGCAACGGGAAAACGACGTCCGCCCCACGTTTGCAGGAGCGCCGTGCTGCCGAGGAAGCGAGAGAGGCGAGACGAGCAGAAGCCGAGGCCGAAGAGGCCGCCTCCTACGGGACACTGGGATCACCCCGCGCGCTTTTCTGATATTTCTGATGAGTTGGCGAAGGGTTTTTCAGCGGAGCTTGGGATGACATGCTGAGGGTCATGATGCGCGATGTCCCTGATTCTTTCTCTCCATCCGATAAGATGGAGTTCAATCTAGTTTATGATAGCTTATGTCCATCTCGGACGGATTGGGGGACGCATGAATGCATGAATGGTGCGTGGCTGCAGGATCCTGTCGCCGTCGATACTCGCTGATATATGAACGAATGAACGAACGCATCCATGCACACATTCATGATGCGTAGTTCTGTCGTTACTTTGGGCTGTGGATGCTTTCGGGACACCCGGGCTCTCGTTTTATATCTTATATTCATATTGCGTGCTTCGTACACTTTCCGCACACTCGCAGGAGCATCGTCGGCAAATGGCTGAAGAGCTCCAGCGCCAGAGGTCACCCGGATTCGAAAGTTGCAGGCAGCATGGACCCATAAAGCATTGTGCTAGCACTATTAAATCTGAAAGGGGCCACATTGTCGTTTTGATTGGTGTCGTCGTCGAAGTCGCATGCGCAACACTTCGCCCATGACGTCAAGGTTTCGAAGGGTGTAGTTCCGCGGCATGGTAACAAACTGCCGGTGTATTTCATGTGCATAATGAAGCATGAACTGCCAGAGACGCTAAGCCGCTAAGCATCTGGCAGTGAGGCAGTTCGTGGCCGAGGAAGCTCTGGCAACGGACGAGGCGCGAATTACACTCGGCCTTGACCTTGACGGTCGGGCTCTCATGTGTGTCAGTGCGAGGACCGACAGCCAAGCCGGCAGCACGACAGACGCAAGGATCGATCCAGAAGCCGTTCTAGCAGCTCGGCTGCGACCGGCTGCCCAGGTGCACCTTACACCAGTTGGTTGAGCCAAGCTTGAGGCAAGCCCTGGCTGACTTGCAGCGTTAGTACATTAGGCAATGGAATAGATCTTGCTGATCTTGAGGTCACGAAGCAGCAAAGCGGAGAAAGAAGCAGAGACGCAGTGCTTCCAGAAGCCGTGTGCGGCGCAAGGACAGACCGGGGTGGAGCAGTCTGCGCAGCATCAGCCAATATATCGCCGGTGCCCGTTTCGGGAAGGAGCGTGCAGTTGCCTGCTTGAAGCTTGAACAGGGCCTGGCTCTTTTGGAACCTTACAGCATTAGCCATAACACGGACGAGCCCTTGGCAGGAGCACAAGAAGAAGCGACGTAAATCGGTTTCCAGATCTAGGAGCAGCCGCTCGAAGCAGAGTGCATTCCAGTTCTTTGGATTTCTTTCAAATCATCACGGGCTTCCGTGTTGGTCTTGGTCTTGGACGCCAGGGGAATCTTTCGGCCAGCCTCAGGCAACAACCATGCACGGCCTCACCGAAGCCGTGCCAGACTGAGATCCGTAGGGCCGCCGTAGGTATGTTTTGCTTTGCAGCAACGACAGCTGCCTAGATCTGGACGAAGGATGTTCGATTGCTGTCCGATGTTTCCACTGTGTTGGCAGGGCGGAGGGCGAGCTCGGGATCCCAAAAAGAGGACAAGCAATGTTGCTCCCAGCTTGTCTGCAGCTCCTCTGCCGATTGTGGCTGGGAGGAGCAGCGACGCACGGAAGCTCACAGCAATGGGATACCTGTGGTCCACCAACCCGACGAAGCATCCAGTTTCCTGGTCCCGCCTCTGGTTGAAGCTCTTTCTCATCCGGATCATGATGCGGATGGTGGGCATGGTTCCGTTCGGAAGTTCAATACGTAGGCGTTGTAGTGAGCTTTGCAAAGCATCTATATCGAGCGCAAGCAGGGCTTCAAAGATCAATTCATGTCCTGTCAATTGTTGATACCAAAATAGGTGTTTTGCGCTAAATTTGGATTTTGTGGGAAAATGGCCAAATTTGAGGGTTCAAATCCTGACCCCAGCACTAAACTACAGTAACTACAGGGTTTCGCCTGTCAGGTGTACCAGCGAAGCAGCCAGCTCCAGTTCCAGAACACGCTGGATTCGGCAGCCTTCCGCGACCACAGGACCCTGCAGATCCGGCGCTGGAGTTGCCGGTTCCGACGCTTCCGGAGAGTGCAGCGGACAGCCAACCAGTCCACAAAGCCTTCGAGCCAGCCCTGGCGCCTCTGGCAGAGCCTCTGGCAGCGCCTCAGGTGAAAGCGGCGCCGAGAGGCAACTGGTCAGCATGGCCTAGTGGGCCTAGTGTGGCACTCCCTGGGAATGTCGGGACCTGGGATCAGAAGTAGAAGCATTGTTTCCGTTGCTTGAGGCGCCTTCACGATGGCTTGGGGTGCTGCGCCTACCCGCAAAGCCAGCCCTGCAGTTCCAGCACCAGTGAATCTCTATCAGCAGCAACTTGAATGGCATCTACGACGCCATGTTGCAGCCTGTAAGTGGCATGTCTCATTGTGCTCTTGACCAAGGCAGTTTGCTCATTGGCAGCAGCAGCAGCAATTGGTCCAGGCACCGTCACTGGATCATCTTGGCTGCATGTCCCGTCATGTGCGAGTTAGCTCCCAGTCTGTTTCCAGGAGCAGCACCGCAGAGACTTGGAGCGGCAAAAGCGCGAGGAGGAGGAGCTGAAGCAGGAACTGGAGCAGCAGCTTCTTCAACAGCTCGGCTCTGAGTTGCTGCGCTGTTTGGGGTGTAGGCGGCCTGTGGCGGAACCACGACGCACCACACGAGGCAGGCGAAAGAGGAGGCGGCCCGGGCCCGCGCCGCAGAGGAGGCTGCGGAGGCCGAACGTCGCGAAGCGGCCGCGGCCGCCGAGGCCGCGGCCGCGGCCAAGGCGGCCAAGGAGGAGGAGGAAAGAAGAGATCGGGAACGGCAGGCGAGAGCTGGGACTGGGAATTGCGATGTCGTCCTGTTCTGAAACGAGAGACCGTGCCAGGAAGCTGAGGAAAGAGCAAAGCCACCCCTGCCTGATTTGATTGGCCCTGCTGTTTACCCTGAATTCCAGCTAAACGAGCATTGGCAGGCAGGCGGAGAGGCAGCGCATCATGCAAATGTGGCAACAGGACAGGGAACGGGCAGGGTGCTACGATGATTGTAGCCTGCAGACTGGCCGGCAACACGAGGACTGCTAAGCCCAAGTAAAATGACCACGTGCGAGGCTGAACGGAGGTTGGCAGGCAGTATGTATGCAAAACAGTGTAATACCACAATGGGGCTCTTTCGTCGGCTGGGGTCGACGAGGATGATGTCGATGTCGCCTTGGCGCACCCGGCCGGTGCACACGGGTTTCGCGACCGTCCAAGTCATTGTGAATTCCAACAATGGCGAGAGGTTTGTGCTTTCCTGCCACTGTGCCGTGCACTTTTTGGGCTGTTAGTGTTTTCCAACTTCCCCCCCATCTGCGCTCCCGTCACAGTACCGTGCGGATTTTGGCTGCGACTTGTTTCCGCCTCCAGTATTCGTGCTCCCACAATCTTGCACATTTTGGGCTGGTCTTGAAGTGGGTATATGTCTCCCTTTGGTGCCCTCCCCCTGCCGCAAGGAGGCAGCTGGCCAAGAAGCGGCGTCGAGAGCGCAGCTGCTGGATGCAAGAGCAAGCTGGACATCAATGCAATTTGGAGCCTGGCAGCTTCGTGACTTTTGTGAAGCCTGTTCATTGCAACCCAGGTTGGCGCACGCAAGCGCTGACCAGCTAACGGCGCACTTCTGGGGCCTGCCAGCGCAACCTGTGTCCACGACACCTGCTTTTCCACCGGGCCACATGCAGCACTTCCTGGACCAGCAAGTCCAACCACAGCATGCACCTGCAGCTCCCAACGTTCCCCAGTCACTTCCACAGCATCTGCGCCCGTCCGGGTCCCAGCAGACGAAATGGCATGACATGCTTAAGATAAGAGCGGATGGCATGCCACAGTTGCAGCCGTTTTTCCTCGCGGTTAACAGTTTAACGAATAACCCGATCCCGTTCGAAACAAAATGAACAAATTCTGGTGTGTTAGAAACATGTTCTTGAACGAGGCAGTTGCATGGGGACCTTGCTTTCGGCCACAGGTGGGCAGGGAAGTATTCCTGCTGTACTCTATGGTTTAGTCCCATGATTGGTATGCCATTCCTGTGGTGGGGGCTCATGTCGCCAAGAAGAGATCCTTACCAGTGTGCCATCCTGCGCAGTGCATCCCGCTTTGCCTGACCCAAAACAGATCACTTGTTCTGCTTGATTTTGATTAGACTTTATGGGGCTGTGTCGTATTTAACCGTTGAGCACTTGCCCGGGATCCTGTTTCTACAATATCTTTTCTTCAGACGACCAGAAGGATTTTGTTTCGCTCACAGTGAACTCGGCATGTAAGGCAATTGCTGCAGGCGGCACCCGTGCAACATCCTGCAGGCTGGGTACTGCTGGGCTGTGTGTGGTTCGGTGAAGTGTGCACCTTGAGAAGAAAGGTGGACCCGTGCAGCCTGCGGAGCAGGAGCACGTGCCGTTGCAGAGGCCCCGGGTGCCATGCACTGAAATGCCGGCAGGACCGCGACGACCTCACCGAGGCCTCCGATGCTTCGCCGCAGGCCAGGGAGCTTAAGCTCATGTCAACCCCCGCGTTTCCCGTGTGGCCACGAGCTAGAGAGAAGCAGGCATGAGTTGTCATCAGGCGCTGGGGAGTGGGATGGAGCGGGCTTTGCTTGGTGCCGGAGTGGAGACAGACTATACTATACTTACTATACAATACAGACAAGAACGAGGTCTCACTGAAGAGTGCAGAAGGCTTGCTTTGCCTCTTTTTGTAGACTGAATTCTGCATGATGAACTGATATTCTGGAGCCAGGCAAAAGTGTTGAAAGGCTCATCTGCAGTCTCGAGGCAGAAGTGACTGCGTGTCGGTGTCGAAGCAAGAAAAACTCGAGGATGTGTGGGCCGAGGAAGACTTTGGCCCACTTGCAAGGACAAGACTGAATGCCTCCTGGTTGTAATGTCTTGTACAGCCTCACGGCTCGTAACGACTTCACAACTTCGAACCTGCACTGCAAGATGAGCTAAAGATATATTCACAGTTGTGCATGCTGGGCGACTCTTCTGCAAGCACTCACTTTCAAAAAGCAGCTTGTGCTGTAGTTTTCCAAGGGTCCATCTGGTGAAATCGAAGGCAGTCTCTGGGTCGTTTTTGGCTTTTCTGCCCGAAGCAAAACTGGAGATTAAAGCACGACAGCCTCACTCGTGAACAGTTATGAGCTTGGACATGCCACGTGCAGACGGCAATCGGTGACAGATTAAACAGGTGCCGGAGAACGACGATGCTGACACAGAGGAGCGTAGCTGCTTGCACTGGGCAATGCCACAGCTGATGGGATGTCCAATGAAAGCATTCTTGATACTCTAGCAGGATAAAACACAGCAGAATCTTAACACTACGCATGCTGCAGGCACCAACCGAAGAGTCCGACTACGATCCCTTTGCCGGCGCAAATGCGGCACAGGTTTCTTGATTTTGACGAAGTGTCGTCAGTGCCACAGTGCGTTTCCTGTAGCGGTGGCATGTTGGCAGGCTGCTCACTCTGCGAAGAACGAGAAGGCCCTGTTGGCTGACCGTCTTTCACGAAAGCTGCTTAATCACGGCCAGCACACTACGTGCAGGAGTACAATCCCTTCGAACAGGCGGAGAGAGATGCAGCAGCTGCAGAGGAGCTGGAACCCAGCAGCCTAGACTTTCTCTTTCTGGTTCGCAGCATGGACCGTCACGTGCGCTGGCAGTTGCTGATCATACAACTTGCGATCTATCCTGTGGGGCGACTTCCACCCGCTGTTAGCAGGATGACGAGGAGGACGAGGGAGCCTTTGAGTCCCTCATTGAAGCTGGGACAAAGATGGAACAGGAAACGATCAGAAACGGTTAACACAGCACAAAGCGGCCTAAGGAGATGCTTCGAGCAGCGGAACGGGAGGGTGGCTCCGCCTCGTCGAGGCTCCGGCGAGGTGAAGTTGCATTCAGCCGACATGCTTGGCATGGGCTTCGAAAGGTCTGTCGACCCCGCCCCGGCGCCACAGGCGGCACAACAGCCGCGACCGACGGACACAGGCTGCTGGTCTTTGTGCTGGATATTTGCTTTTATGCTGGGTTTTTTTCTTAATTATGCTCTCTCCCTTCGCCGCCCCTCCTTCTGACTCGCTTCCCTCCCTCCCTGCCCCACCCCGTTGCCGTCCCCTAAGCCTGGATCGCATAGCGAAAGTCAGGTTCGCCTAAGAGCGTAAGAAAAGCATGTCCAATCTTGATCCCATCCCAGGCGAAGAGCATTTCGCAAAGGCCAAGGCGAAGCCCAAGACTGAATACCATTTCAACAGCGCCACGCAGCGGTGGGAGCCAAAGGCTGCTCGTGGGGATTTGCATGGCAGAGCGCTGGGTGCTTTCTTCAAAGATTTGCAGGCAGCGCCGCCTTCTCCTCCGAAGCCAGAGCCCTTCCGCCCCGGAGCCTTGGCACAGACTATGACTGGTCAGTCTCGTCGGAATTGCACTGCCGCAACCGCATAGCCTGCTAAAGGTCCTGCAATGCCAAGACAGCGGCCTCAGTACCAGCAGCCGCCCTGCTTCAAATGTTCAAATGATGAGACTACATCTAGAAATAGAGGCACAGCAAATGACTTGAAGTTTGATGAGGCAGGTTGTGCCGCCGCGGCCGATGGCACCGCAAGCGACGCATGCGCCGCCTCGAAGGCAGGAAGCTGCAAAGAACTGCGGGCCTGCGTTATATGCGTCAGATGGTCAGATGCTCCAACAAGCGCCTCTGCAGGCTGGTCATTGCAGAATGCGAGGCGGAAGCGCGGGCAGACGCTGCGAGCGGCAGCTGCAGTGTGGCACAGGTCCAGCTGCTGCGCACAGTCGTTGCTGTGGGTCCCTGTAGGTATCACTCCAACAGACGACTTAAGAAGAGTTTATGCAAAGCCTGGTGCCGCAGAGGCCCTTGCCGTGCGCTTAGCCCTGCGCTTCGAATCCAGACCGAAGGATATCCTGGTGAGCCCCTTGGGCTGAAATAGCAGCAAAGCCCTTGCAACTGGGCTCGGTCGTAAAAGAGGAAACGCAGATTTCCAAGCCTGCATGGGAAAGCTGAGAACTTTCGTTCGCAGCCACCAGTCTGCTAGATGTTACCACCATGATTCACAGGCATGAGTGAAGCCGGTCTTCCTGCTGCCAAAGATCAGCGCTCGACGGTGAAGACCATCATGCGGCTCTGCCACCCGGACAAGTGCAGCTCGGCCTTGCATTGGCTCCGATTGTTTTCTCCCAGCTCTGCCCCATCCGAGGCAAACACCCCGAGGCCAAGCGAGCGATGCAGATCCTGGGGCCCCTGCTGTCCTGAGATGGTCTGGGCATCTGCCCATATCCTCCGAAACTGCAAAAAGACGAGCTTTTGCCCAAAGTTCCGGTTCTCGAGACCAGCTCATCGAGGCCAACGCATGGTCCGTCCCGTTCGCGACCAGGAAGTACAAAGCACAATGGAATGCCGAAATTGCAGCACATTCTGCCGTGATGCTGAGGGCTTTCCGGGCCCTCGATGTTGCTGTGGCTGCTGCAGTGGTCCCAGTGCAGCGGGAGAGCACTGGGATGGGGAATAAACAGCCGGTTCTTGCAATGAAATGGGCACTGCTTCTGGACCCAGGTGAGTCGAAAACCCTCGACTTGCAGATCCATGTAGCACCTTCCCACAAAACCAGGCAAGCAAGTGTATTTCGACACTTCTAGTTGTTCTATGTCAACGTTTCTGTTGTAGTTCTTATTTCTGGGTATGATGCGATGGCTGCACGTCGCTGTCATTGCCGGGAGCTTCCCCGTTCCGGCCTTCTCTGCCACCTCTGCCAGCTGCCTGTCACAGAGGACCTGGTGACCTTGTGGATGTCGCTTTTGGGGGCCTGGAAGAAAAGTTGAGCCAAGCCGTAAGTGCCAGGACTCGCCAGGCGCTCGATGAGGAAGCTTACGGAGAGCAAAGCATGCAGCTCCTGCAGCATGCACGGGACCGCCACGGCCGGCTACGGGTCCCTCCCAGTGGCTTCTTCAATACGTCGGCCATCTTAGCAGACAGCCCTCGAGGCTCTTTGCGGACCTGTGGCTATTGTTAGTCTAGCCAGCTTTCACCGATCAGGTACTTTCCTCTCGCGCATGGCTATCTTGGTTCAGGCAGTCGGTCTGACGTAACCCGGAATGCAGCAATGGCACAGACCGAGGAACGTTTTGGGGGTTGAGGTTGGGGTGGTGCTTGCCCCTTTGGCTGTTTCACATGCATGAGACGTAATCGTGCCACGTGCTGTGTGGTCAGTTCTTTGAAGCGGAATGCCCACGGAAGGCACTGATCGTTACAAGCAAGGAGGTGTGTCGAACTGGTGCATTTCAAGCACAGTCGAGAGTCAATTCGTAAGCACATGATACAGTAGTAGAGTGTATCATTTTTGCTGCTTGCCGGGGCATTGAGGTACAACACCACCACCCCGAAGTTTCAACCGGGGTTGGCTGATGCCAACATATCTTCAGGCTTGCGTGCCCGGCCAGCGCTCGGCTCATAGTTGTGTTTCCATGTCTGAGAAGGTGCTGGTACCTGGTTTCGAAAGAAGCAGTTCGATCGGGACCCGGAGAAGGGTGGCGTCTTTGCCAGAGTCTTTGCAAACGACGAGATGCATTCGGCCATCATCGTCTTCAAAGGCATCTGTGACACGATAGGCTGGGCCCGGAGAGAAGCTAGTTTGACTCTTGGTTCGTTGGCATGTGCAGGCCTCGAACAATGTATTATTGATGCATGCAAGCTCAACAGCATCGGAGCCTACGGTGTCTCGGTAGAAACGGAGACGATCTTTGCGGGCTTTCGCCTTTATTTTATCCCCGTCCCAGATCTTATTTTGGACATTCAGGAGAGCTCTCGGAGGGCATCGCTGCAGTGTTCGGAGCAGTGCCGTGGCGGCAGTTCGCCAATGTCGTGGTTTCTTTGATGGAATATTGCTAGAGTCTAGAAGCGCCGTGCCTGCCTCGTGTGTGCCCCATGTCTGGGATGAGTTCATGACATTCGTGCCATGCGTGTCCACAGGCGAGATGGATGAATCAAGTTTCTCGTTGTGACTTGCTTTGTTGCCAATTCCTCTTTTCTGCCAAAACGGAATCGGTCCAGGACGACAAGACGTGCGAAGGCTACAGGGAACAGCTGAACTTCGTGGAGCAGGCGGCAGAGATCACCTTGAACAGCTAAACAGCCTGGCAAAGCCTAGGCCGGTTAGACGCCACACAACTAGAACAGCATGTGTGCACTTACTGCAAGGCGAGCTACCAAATGGTACAAGAATGCAATGGAATTCAGCTTGCAACAGTAGCACGACTGCGCTTTCTGCACCAAATGCAGGCTTTGAGTTACGCTGCCGCCGTCCGCAGTGCGCTAGAAGACTACGAAATCATCCTGACGGGGCACTCCCTCGGAGGCCCTGATTTCCACATTGTTTTGTTACATTTCCGGAAGAACCGACAGATCGCAGGGCTGCTGGCGATTGTCACGGCTTCGCAGCTGGGCCTCAAAGCGCTGACTTTTGCACCGACTCCTTTCCACAACGTTCTGAAGCAGGAACGTGAACAGATGCTTGTGCTGAGCTTCTGAGTGGTTGCGCTTGAAGCCTCAACCTGTTTGTGCACCTCCCGACTGCAATCCGATTCAGCAGAAGGACGCGGGATCGTTACTTGTAGCCCACGTCTGAACTTATGTCGCGACAGCTACTTGTAGAAATGCCTCCTTGCGGTGGCGGATCTTTCGGTTGTGGGCGGGTTGCGAGCTTGTCTGACCGGCCGGCCGAACGACCTGACCAGACAGATCCCGAGGGGTTGATCTGCATGCGCAAACTCTGCTGCACGAGCGTGGGCCGGTCAAGAGACAGACTGCAGGAGTTGAACTTCACTGACGAGCAAATCTCTGGCATGGACTCTGACGACCTTGTGTCTTTGTGACAACTACTGTAGGGATCTATGTAGAGCCATTGCAGAGCACAGGCGGTGGACTTAAGAGTCGCCGGAAGTCTTGGGATGTCTTGGGCAGTTCTGCAGTCTTCCGGTTCGGTGGCTGGCCTCTTTGCGGGTTGCGATGAGCTTGGCCCAATGCAGTTCCTAGGTCCCCAAACCCCTGCGATAGAGGGGTGGCGGGGGGGGGGGTTGTTGTTCTCCAATTTGGAGAACAACAACCCCCCCCCCCCCCAGCGTTGTTGTCCTCCCCCCCTTTGTTGTTGTTCCCAAGAACAACGCCGCCCCCCGCAGACGGGGTGGGGGGGGGGGGGGGTTGTTGTTCGCCAAATCTCTCGCTGCTTCTGTTTGAGAGGGCATTTGCCAAAGTGGCCGCAGTCTGATGGCAAACACCACCAGTGGAAGACCATTCTCCGAAAGATAGCAACCACCACAGCGGCTGAAACCCTTGCGCTGATTGCGATTTGCCAGGTACTTAAAAAGCACAGCTTAGCGAAAGATCCTCAAAGTTCGATGTCCAGAAAAGCCGAAGCAGGGTAAGCAACCACTAAAATGGCGAGCAGAAAGACTGCAATCGTGGTGCTTTTGAAGCAGAAGAGGCGGAAGAAGGCACAATACATACATACATACAGTTACATACATATACATACACACACATATATATATAAGATAATGTATACGTATATAATAAATAGAAAATGAAAATAGAAATAAATATAGATATATATTTATATATTTATTTATTTGCTTATTGTTTGGTACATTATTTATTATGCATTAGATAGTATATAATATATACATATAAAGCGAGGGCGACATCAAACCACAACCAGTGGCACGCATCTGCACTCGAGTCGGGGCTGCATCCCGGCTCTTTACATAGCCTGCCGAAAGACATGGATGGATACTAAGAGGGCTGAAGTGAAAAATCGGAGCATCCCACATTCAGCTGAGATCATCGACCGTTGGATTTTGCAACAAAGCTGCATGAAATAGCATCCGAACCAACCCTAAACCAAAAACGCCACAAACTTTAGCCTAAGCCCTGTAAGCATCTCGACAGGCTCATCAGAGCATGGCTCGAAAACTGGAAAACCTTCGACCCGTGGAGCTCATTGCGACCTGGCTCATTCCTGCTTGATCAGTTAAGCCTGATAATACTGGGCATAACAGTATTCATCACAATATATGCCTAATACAAACAAATCATACTAGCTCTCTTATTAATATGTTTGACAGGACGCTCATCGTCATAGGCTTTTATGGGACTTATGACAATGAGTTTTACATGAGTGCTTTGCAATGGCTTCTCAGTGGCTGAAGCTGGGTAGCGGGCTGCAACTGCTTTGTAGATGTTCTGCAGGCTCTTCTTGGGATGTCATTGGGAGTTGTGTTTGGACTAGACTAGCTGTGGGCTTTGCGAGGGAACTTAAAATGCAAGTTGCGATGCGCAGTGGCAGCGGTCTCCCCGACCCTGCTCGTGTTAAATTGAGGTTCGCACCCCTCACTTCAGCAACAACCAGCAGTAGCAAGGCATTAGGCGGATCAGTCATCCTACTAGGCACAGGAGGTATGCTCGCACAGACACGAGTGAAGTTGGAAGCAAAAGCACGAGCCGGCACAGAGAAGTGTAAGCACGTACCTGCCAGCAGCATCCAGAGGGTATACTGAGTAGATCTGGAGGTGACAGGTCTTCCGGCGAAGATGCTTCCAGCTGACGTCGAGGACACTCGCACGTGGGAGAAGCGAAGCCAACGAGATAACGAGTTTAAAGGGCTGCAAGTAGATTTCAGCCAACGCTCGAAGATTTGGTGAACATTGTCGTGGTGGTATTTCAACTTCCTCGCATTGTTTCAATGAACAAGTGCGAGGACAGTTGCTTGGTGTTTGTATCTTCATCGCCAAATAAACATGTCGCACAACAAGGAAAGTGCCGAGCGAGACCCTCAGTGCGACAAACGCAAACGCCATTTCCCGTCTACCCGACCATGCGAACTTTGCGCCCACCCAATTTGAAGCCACAACCACACCCCGACCTGTGTGAGAGCACACAAAGCACAGCAGTGAGCGAGTAAGGAAAGCTTGGCCACCGTGGGACGGAAACTTTCAAAAGCTTCCAGTCCGGAAACCACCGCTCAAAGGAGCAATTTAACGATGGCTGGCAAACCAGAGTTCTTCGAAGCTCGGGTGTAGACTGGGTGTAGAAGCTGTAAAATTCATTATGCCGAGGACGGTGCGCCCTCACAGTGCTCACGTCGACGACTCTCGCATGTCCAACTGTAGGCGAGTAGAACTGCGTTTGTGACTCGTCATTACGGTCCGGCCATGGGTAGCATGGTAGTTACACGAGAGCGTTTGCGAACCTGCGACTACAATCCTCATTTCATACCCACACGGGATCCACGTAATGTGTTGATTCATGCCCAACTTACCTCATATGTCACAACGGAGTGACGGGGTCAAGTTCTGGCTGCAGATGGCCAGCCCCACTGCAGCGAAGGCATGCTGCCAAGGTTATATGTTTCATTCATGTTCAGAAGGCAACCGTACCAAGTCGTCAGATGCATCCTGCGCATTCCCGCGCAGTAGATTAGCTTTCGGATTTGGGGATGCCTGGGGCTGGTTCCTCTGAGCTCAAGCAACTCCTAGGCCACGCTTGGCTCATCGCTCGTCAGACCACTCGCCGCCCGGTTTGTCCAAATTGTCAGAGGCACCACACCGTAAGGTTTTTAGAGGCGTGACCTTATGAGTCATTACCACCCCGTTTGGGCCGTGTGCCCCAGCCTTCAGCGCCTGGAGGATTTGGTTGCCTCTTTCGGAACCGTCGAGAGTGTCGAGTCGCAGCCTTGGTTTCTTCTATGAACAGATCTTGCAGGGCTGAACTGAGAAGGACCCCTACCCGCCCCAGCCTTGAGGCCGTTGCAACCTGGCCAGATGGTCGTTACATTCGATTCCCCTGCAGCTGCAGAGTGGCTTGGCCCGAAATCGGTTTGGGGTCTAGCTCCAGGTCTGCTCTTGGAGAAAGCCCTTGGCAGCCAGAGCATCGCTACCACCGCAGTATCACGAAGTGGTCGTAGAGGCAACGAGTAGTAGTTTTTGGCAGACGCGGTGGTAACAGTAGCAGTAGGAGTAGTGCGACTTCTCATATTTTGACGCCACAGAACGTGCCTTCTTCTCAAGTGGCTACAGCCTGTTCCAAACAAAATCGGCTCAAAGCTCAGCCGAAAGCCTGCGAAGGAGGGCACGCCGGGGCAGGGAGGGGCGCTTCTTGAGGGTATTACCGTCTGACGGCGCCATCAGACAAAGCGTCCGTTGGGCTGTTGACCTCAAGACTCAAGACCCTGAACCATAGATATATAGAAGCTCAGATCACTAACCCTTAAACTGCCCTGAACCCCACGCCCTGCACGAATATTCTTACTCTTTACTATAAATATTGGAATTTTCTTGTTGCATGATGATCGCGGATCATGTTTTGTTTTATTGTTATTACTATTATTGTCCTTGTTATATGTATTCTTGGCTTTTTGTTATGCTTAGTATGCCTATGATTCTGATGATTATTGTTGTCATTTATTTTATATAATGTGTACGATTATGATTATTACTGTCGCTGTTACTGTTAGCGGCCGTCGTAGTATTGTTCATTCTTCTTCTTATGCTACTATTATCAGTGGTGGTAGTAGTAGCAGCAGCAGCAGGAGGAGGAGGAGTAGTAGTAGTGGTAGTACTACTACTACTACTACTACCACCACCACCACCACCACCACTGCCAGGACTAGTGCCATTAGTGTTGCTACCATGAGATCGCATACTTGCGTCAACTAAAGCAGATAGAAAGATATATGTGTACTTACCTAATTATGTAGTTATTTTTGTCTATAGCTTCTGACTGAGGAAGGCTGCAGGGGGCTTGCGGGGTGAGTGCCTGGGCGACCAGAGCCTCGAATGCCACCTCAAGCCTCGACCCTTGGCCTTGGGATGAGGGAACTCATTGAGTTTAGCTTGGTTTCTGGAGCTACATGGGATTCTTGCCATGGCTTCATGGTCTTATGTAGTTATTTCTGTTTTGGGGATTCCAGGTCTTCGGGGGTTTGGGACTGGGCAGTGCAGCAGTGTAGGGTTGGGATTTTCCGTGTCGTGTGATGCAACCAGGACTGTGTCGTCTACAGCTGCTTTTTGTGACCTAAGCCCAGAATTTCGCCGGTCTGTGCATGCATCATGGGGCAACTTCGCGACCTGAAGGACCCCCGCTGGACGAGGAGGACGTTGCGGCTGATGCTGCAGAGGTGTTGGTGATGAACATTCATCCAGCCGCCTTGCCGCCAAGAGAACGATGAAGCACAGCTCGCTGCAAGCATCACGAGACCAGCACGGTTGAACAGCCCGAAGCATCAGAAAGAGCATCCTTGGAGAGTCCAGCCCGCACACATCGAAGCTCTTGCAGATTTTCTAAACATTCGAAGATGCAATGACCTGAGGAAGCAACCGCAGTGGCTTGCTCGCAGCTGGCGCGTGATGTGGGGCACTGGTGTTAGTTAGGTACGATCGCCCATCAGTGTCAGAAGTTGATGTGGAGACTGATAGCCGCTTCGAGAAGAGAGCTCAGGAGGAGATCGAGGCACTCTTCTCGCCCATCGGCCCTGCCAAAGTGCACCTTTGCTCAAATGACTAGGGGTAGGACTGCGCTAGGGCTGAGCCCTTGCTTCATGCAGATATCAGGCGGTGGCCCAGCGCCAATCAGGATGCAGGCTGCTTGGAGCTGCAGACAGCAATACTATACCTGATTGTTTTGGCGATGTCGTGCCGAGTCAGTCGGAGAAGAAGCATAGCCAAGGTTCTCTGCGGTTCTGCTATGTGCGCTTCGCATCTCTGACACAAGCACAGAATGCGGTTACGCAGCTGGTGGGAGTGACCCTCCATGGTCAAGGCGTGGCTAGCGGGTACTGAGTCAAGGCGAGCAAACACGTCCATACACGCGGGTCGCTCGCGCGTCGATGTTTTGTTTGTTCGCACAACAGGTGTCCAACTCAGCCCTGCGAAGCCAATGTCAGACAGCTGCACGGTTTTCGTGGGCAAAATCCCGTGCCCTGAGATCTAGAGTGCAGGAAGGCTTCATGCGTTTACGCCTCGATCTAGGTTCGTCTCCGACGAGGGTAGATATCTTCCAAAGCCTGCTCAGGTACGAGGCACAGGAGGCGGATGTGCAAGAGGCTTTGAGCCCTGCCGGTGAAGTTGCGGGCGTTCGGATTTTGCGGAATGGCCAGAAAGGCTCTATCGCGCCGCATGGCCATAAAACTGGGTTGTTGTACCTCAGTGCTTACCACTCCCTGGGGTTGTAGGGCGGAACAAGGCCTTGCAGGAAGTACTGCATGACGTTCTAAGCGATTGCTACCATCTCCTCGACTTCCGTTTGTTGAGCATTTGTCTGAAAGGTTCGCGGACTTCACGTGTCGCGAGGATGCGGCAAAGGCGTGGCCATGTCGGTTTGCGAAAGTAGCTGCGCAGCTGCTGATGCTAGGGTTTGGGGGTGAAGGTTTGTCAGTTGCGAGTTAAGAAGTGGAAGACAATTTCCAACAAGCTCAACAATAGACTCAGCGCCGGAATGCAAGGCTGAATACAGCTGCCAGGCTCTGGACAATCTTCAAGGTGTCTACTGTTTGGGAAGCCGGCTTCACCTGGAGTTGGAGCAGGTTCCCTTCTGTAGCCGCACACTGTTTCCGGCATTGGACAGTTGCTCTGTATGCCTGTCGGCCACCACAGGATGGAAGTCTCCCATGTCGCTTGACCGTCAAACTATCATGCGTGGCAGACAGTTCTTCCAGAGGACAAGAAGCAACAATGGTTGCTGGCTCGAGCCCCGCGACCACGTGGATCACAGCGATCGCACCGAGCGCAGAGTCGCACGAAGTGGGATCCATCCCCCAGCAACTTCGTCCTTGTGTTGAGTCATGTGCTGCAGGTCGAAGGACACAAGGTCTAAATGAAGTTGTCGTCTCTCTCTCCCTTCACGATTTCAACGCCAAATCCATGGAAGGCAAGCTTTTTCTGGGCAACGTTCCTGCAGAAGCGACGGAAGATGACCTTCGCAGCATATTCTGTGCCGTCGAGGGGCTGATCGAGGCAAGGGGAATCGAGGGAAGCTTGCCCATGAGCATGTGAATGTGTGCAAATAGATAGATACAGTCATATCATATATAGGGTAGCGGAAAGGAACAGAATCTCGCAGAACATCTGCGCCCCTGAAGCACATGCGCCTTTGATTTGAAGCACCACCAGTACGCCACACCGCAGTTATAGTACACTGACTTGTGCGGTGACGAAGAAGTTTGCACGCGGGGTCCTGTTTCTGCTGGTGACAGTTTCGTGACTCGACCGCATGAAGTCGCATGAAGTCCACATGATAACAAGAGCAAGTTGATGGTGACAGTGCTTTGCCGGGCAAGTCAGCCTGACGCATGCGTGAGAGGAAATTGAAAGAAATGTCGAGGATGCTCTCACAAACCCGTGCTGATGCTGTTCGTGGTCATCATGACCATCACCACATTCGTGTCCGTGGTCATGACTATGCCACGATCATTAGGACAGCGATGGCATTGCACATAATGCTGGTGTACTGCAGTGTACGCAGCAGTAGGAGGAGGAGGAGAAGGAGGACCTTATTCGGCAGCTGCTTATGACAGTTCTCGCGCAAACTGCACGTTGTTTCCGTACTCCCCTCAAAGCCCGGCCTTGAGGAGGCTGGCTTTACCCGTTCAGACATCTTGCCAAATCAGCGCATGCACCTCTGGCGTTTGTGTAGGTCGCCATCGTGCGGTGCAAGACGGACGACACGGGACCTGGCTATGCCTTTGCTCCCCGGACGGCAGGTGACGCTTGATGCCACGTCCATAGATTGCCAAATGTGAATGGGGGCCTGCAGTGGCCGTTGGAGCCTGCCAAGGTCCGCTACATGACCGCAGCACCGCTGTCTGAGTTTTGGGAGCTGCCGGGATATCAGCCGAAGGAATGACATCCAACAACACTAACTGGCAAGTACACATTATTTGGAAGAAGTACCGTTCGTGCGCTTCAGGCCATGCTTGCTGAGGTTGAGCAGGTTTTAGCGGAGATTGGGGCTCCAGTTCAAGCTTTCTGACCTCAGGTGACCTCATGCGGTGATTTGATTGGACGGTGGCGAAATGGCATGTAAAGATGCATTCAGCACCGGCCAGGAACAAGCAACGATGGCACTGGATATGTTCCAAGTCCTGGAGCTCTTTGGAAGGTCGTTCGCCTGAGTCACCAAGTAAAACACAGACACGCTTGACCTGCACTCTTGCCTTGCACCGCTCTGATTGCGAAGCTTGCCTGCGGCTTGTGATTGGGTCCGAAACCACTAAAACCCAGTAAGGCCGCCTCAGCATGATATTCATGGCTCCTAGCGAGTCCTGTTTCAGGCAGTATACTCAGTATACACTCGCAGTTGACACTTTGGGTTTAGGCCGTTAGGCCTTAGGAGACTTGTGCCCAAATACAAGAAGCCCACCCGACAGCGATCTTGTTGTCTTTGCCGATGCCCAGGCAGCTGCGTCTGAGGCCATCTGGCAAGGAAAACGATGCCTGGGACCCCAGCTACATGCGGACATGACAAATTGTCAGCAAGTTCTTGAACAGCGGCGGTACTGAAACTGCGAATGGGGCTAGGGGTCGCTTGAACAAAGCATTCGATGCACCCGTCATTGGCAGCAGTGATACTTGTTCATGCACCTGCCAAGGATTGGAGGAACAGCCGGAAGGTGAGCCTCCCTGCAAGTGAGAGCTACTGTAGCCTGGTCTCTGTGATTGGGGAGAGCTGGCTTTGTCAAAAGGGCAGTAGGCTTTCCACATGCCTTTGCGAGGCGCCTCCCGGAAGAACTCTCATCATCAGCAACCTGGACCAATATCCGTGCATACAGAGACATGCAAGCAGTGGCGGCTTCTGGCACTTGTAACCAAGTCAAGCCGACCAAGGACATCTGCCTCGGTCAGCGCAAGAAAGCGAGCTGCGCGTACTGTTCGAACCATATGGGAAGATCACACAGGTTCCACGGCCGGCCTATGCATTCTAAAGCTGGTAATGCTTGTCCCGCGCAACTCTTTGAATCCAAGGTTAAAGTGCTCCACGAGAAAGACTTTACACATGCGCAGGTGGTTTTCAAGGAGGCAGCACATGCGAAAGCAGCTCAGGAAGCCGGGCTTGCAGATTTCAACACATTTGGTCTAAGTCCTAAACCCTAAACCCGCCCCCCCCCCCCCCNNCCCCCCCCCCCCCCCCCCCCTGACGGCCCATGCCCTTTGATGCCCGTCCCCAGGCCTGATCTGTCAACGGATCGGTGACGAGCACCTCTCCCAAACTCTATTCCAAATTTTCCACAATTCCCCACCTAACTATTCAATAGGTCCACAAATTCCAAAATTTCCAAAATTCCTCCCCCTAACTCTCCAAAAGTTGCAACAACTCCAAAAAGTCTGCCCCCAATGTTAAGGACCGACTCGGCCAGTTAAGGGCATAGATTTTTGGAAATTTGGATTTTTTGGAAAATTAGGGGAAGGAAGTTCGATTTTTTTGAAATTTGCAATACTTGAAGTGGTATTTTGTTTGGAGAGTCCTCAGCATATGGTAAATTCGCGTATTAGTATATGCGCATACGCCTATATTCGTATATAAATTTCATAGTTTATAAGTATATCTCTATGTTGGTATAGTAGTATAGTAGTATGTTAATATACCAGTATACTTGCATATTACAGTATTTGAAGATTTGTGTATTAGCACATGAGTAGATTAGTATATTCATACAGTAACGTAGTAGTATGCTAGCATATTGGTACCAGGGTATGTTAAAGGACATATATATATATATAAGTACATGATAGCTTTCATATATTTGTATTCAATATAACGGTATGTATACTCTTATACATGAGTATATGCAGGTATGTATTAATATTGGTAGTATCATACATTTCAATATTAATATGAACATGTTTATTGGTGTTCGTAGGATTAGTAATGTTGATATTCCTATTCGTATTGTCATATTCATATCAGCCTTAATGTAAGTGTTCATATTCGTTGTAATACAAATATTAACTTGAGTATTCAACAAATATCAATGTCAAGACTCCTATTGGAAATAGTACTGTATGTCATGAACAGCAAGGAGAGTATGCATATGAGTATTCGTAGGAATAATAATACTCATATTAATATTGGTATGATTATGAATATTGGCATTAGTATTAATAACAGTACTGGCATTAACATTAGTATGAAAAAGAATATGATGATTCGTATTCGCAGTACTGTTTGTATTAGTATTGCTCTTGAGTTTCGCACTAGAACTAGTAATTGCATTAATAATGGTATGAATTTTAGTTCTAGTATCACTGTTACTATGCGTAGTAGTGTGCGTAGGAGTAATCGTATTCAGTTTAATACCAATAACAGTACCATGATAAGTACATATTTTCAGACTTGTTTGAATATGAATGCAAATCTGAATATAAATCGGTGTAGGGATAGTAATCTTAGTATTAGGCTTAGTTTCGCATTAGTATAAGTATTAATCTTAGTATGAGCATGCTATTAGCATTCGCCGGAGTATTCATGTTACTATTATATCTTAATTTCAATGTTAGTATTAATACCAATGTATTTAGCTACTCGAATCCGCCAACCGGGGGGGCAACGAAACAGAAAAATGTGACTAAAATGTCGAAAGTGCTGCATTTTGCCGCACGTCTCAAGAGTCAATGAAGCGCGTGGAGTATGAATGGTTCGTCGACATATGGATGATCAACACAGTTCAGCTTTGTTTAATTTTCTAAGACGCTGATCCTGCTGGATATAGGACTGTCGGTCTACTGGTTTGAAGGCAAGGCCCCAGTGGATTTAGGGTCGCCGGGTGGATGCATGGGACCTTCCATCTGCCATGAAGTCAGCTAAGCATGGTGCAAGTGCACGTGTGAGAGCACAAACCCCGGGATGGCTTGTGTTCAAGCCGGTAGAGTTGCTGTGGCAGCGAGTTTGTCTTGTCAAGGCCGATAGCTTGAGTCTTGGAGAATGTACGGCATGACTCCCCTTTTGATCCATGCTTCTGCAGTGAGGCAGAACAAACGTTGAGGTTTTTCGGTGCAGCAACCTTTGTGTGCATGTAGCTGGTTACCGTTGGAAGCTGCTACCACCAAAGGGTGTGTCCAAGACTGAGAGGACAAACCCCGAAACCCATGCAGATTTCCTGATCGTGAGGAACAGCCCTGAATCCCAAACCAAGCCTAACCCCACGGCAAAGGAATGCCTGCAGAAGGTGGACTTTCGTGGACGGTCCGTGAAAGTCGTCCGAGCAAAAAGCCGATCACCAGAACGGAAAGACCAGCAGCAACAGCAGAGGACATCACCGAGGCCCTGCGGGTTTGAGCTTTCCATTTTGGGTGTATGCACTGTAGCAGTACTGCCTATCAAAAAGCATGGATAGCTTCGACCCCTCCTTTGTGTTACGGCTGAGGGTCGGGAATCACCGGATGGCCCGAACCAGCTCTTCTTGTTGCGAGTTGATTCGAACAAGGGCATACGAAGGCATCCGAATGTGTATCAACATGGAGTTTGCTGCAAAAGTCTACCTCGCACCTAAAGTTTGCGGGTGGAACAGTCTTGGAGGTTGGCTAATTACTTCAAGTCGCAAACCAATCCTGCCTGTTCTGCTGGGCTGATTTTCCGGAGGCCCCATCTCTTCGTTGGGAATCTTCCCGCGGAGCTTGACGAAAACACCTTTCGCGAGACCATGGAAGGCGGTGGAGAAGTGCCGCTCTGCCAGATCAAGGCTCTTTGTAGATAGGGTTGAGCTGTGACTAGGTTTTGGGCGATTCTTGTCTTTACCATGGAGAGGAGGACAGTCACCGAAGTGTGCATGGTCTGCATCATAAGGTCCCACGTGAAATTGCTCCGCGAGAAGAATGGCAAGTTCAAGTGTTGTGCGTTCGTCGCCCCTCGGCCATCACCCAGACGGGCATAATCACCTCAGACTCACGACCTTAAGCAGAGTCGTGATCTCAACGTGTCCCCTTTTTTACATGTGAAGCACGCAGTCAAAGAAACGGCTTGGAGGAATATGCGGATCCCGCCTGTGTCGACGAAGCAATCGAGCTGCTCAACAATGTTAACTGTCTGGACAAGCCCATGAAAGTGCAGAGGTGGGTGTTTGATTTCATCGAGTCTTCAAGGAAAGTGAGGAAGAATTGCTGCTTGCAGGGGAGGGCATATGATCTCCTGGAACGTAGCAGCTTAGAACCGGGGCAGGTATCGCTCGCCGACACCTCCGGGTCGCACAAGCAGTGCACCGTTAAGGACCTCGCTGATGACTGCATTGACTAGCGAGCTAGTGGCTTCAAAGCCACACCCTGCCTGTTCTGCTGGTTGTTTTTGTGTCTGTCTCTTTGAGGAGGCCCCATCTCTTCGTTGGGAATCTTCCTGAAGAGCTTGACGAAACCACTTTTCGCGAGACCATGGAAGGTGGTGGAGAAGTGCCGCTCTGCCAGTTCCATTGGAGCTCCCGTATGGTACCCTCAGAGACCCGGAACCCCAAGAGTCCAAAAACAAAGCCTAAGCCTAAGCCCCTGAGTCGCAATACGACCTGGAGCTTGAGATTTGCAGGCCCTGTAGGCTCTCTGTGGGGCTCGGTCCCTGTGACCTTTCTGGGACGGGGCGGGGGGCAGAACCTTCTACCTGCAGCTGCAGGCCGGGCATATTACCAATAATAAGAATGATAATGTAAAGACAAGAGTACTATAACATATGAAGAATACTGATCATGATGATGGTAATGAATGATACTGATAATTTAATGGTATTAATGATTCCTAGAAGCTCTCGAGACGGTTTGACGCTTCACGCCCGGACCTGGAAACAAAAGCAACGATGCACTTCGTGCAGAAACATCCTGACAGCATGGTCTGCATCATAAGGTCCCACGTGAAATTGCTCCGCGAGAAGAATGGCAAGTTCAAGGGTTGTGCGTTCGTCGCCCCTCGGCCATCACCAAGAGGGGCATACTCACCTCAGGCTCCCGACCTTACGCAGAATCGTGATCTCAACGAAACACACAGTCAAAGTATCGGGCCTGAAGGAATATGCGGATCCCGCCTGTGTCGACGAAGCAATCGAGCTGCTCAACAATGTTAACTGTCTGGACAAGCCCATGAAAGTGCAGAGGTGGGTGTTTGATTTCATCGAGTCTTCAAGGAAAGTTGGCTAGAGTTCGAGGGAGGATGCTGGAGCATAGCAGCTTAGAGCCGGTGCAGGTATCGGTCGCCGACACCTCCTGGTCGCACAAGGACCGTTCAGTGTCCAATGGGTGGGGAGGGCCTGACGACTGCACCTGCTCTTAGCAGACGAGGGGGAAGAGAGGGTCAGATCCCAAGTAACCGAGTGCCCAGGGTGGGGCTCTCTCAGACGAAGAGCGGGAAGACGACGGAGAGACCCAGAGTAACCGAGCGCAGATTGCCTGCCGCCTAATCTTCCAACCACACGCAGGAGCTAGTGTAACTTCAGTGGGTCTGCCATTCTTTTTCGTGAGGCCACAGGTGGTAGTGTTAGTAGAACACTGAAGCTTAGACATCAAAAGTGAAGATAGTGAAGAGTCACATGAGAAAGATCCAGATGGTGCCCCGGCGCACTGCGGGCTCTCCCTTCAATTGGAAAGCCGATCCCGAGAAGAGTGGTCTTCGCTAATTGCCGGTCCACCAGTCGCTGTGGCAAGGAACCGCCTTGACTTCAGGTATGAAGCTCCGCCAAGCCGCACAAGCCAAGTAAAGCTGCATGCTGGTATCCTCTACATGCGCACCTGGTCTTCTGCGATGACCCGTGACAGGACGCGATCTCGATCACGGTCACCCAGAGTCCCATACCCAGCCTCAGACCCCGGGGTATGGAGGCGCGGCATTGGGGACGAGACACCTCGTAGCTAATGAACATGCAGCGGCACTGCCACACTGATCTTTGTCCACGCGCTGCTACAACTCCACATTTTGCGAAGAGGAACATGCGTTGATTCGCAGGCCGCCGGCAGTGGTGCCTCATTATCTCCAGCCGTCGGCACAACCGCCGCCACCCCCGATGATGCCGTTACAACGGTCATTTTTGCCACCTCCCAGGCTCTTTATTTCACCTTGGGCAGTGTTTTGCGCTTGCCACTCCTGTGCGTAACCATGTTGTCATCGCTAGAGCTCGCTTCATCCATTGGTGCTGCTTTCATGATTCGTGGTTCCTTAGTCTGTCTTGATCGTCCTCAGTTCAATCGAGCAAGCTGAGGCCAACATCAGCGGTCGCGCCATCGACCCCGAGATCGATTGTCAGACCGTCCTGTGCAGCCCACCTACGAGAGGGAAGCGACAATGACCAGGTGCAGTTTCGGCAGGCCGGAAGTTGAAGAGTTCAGGTTTGGCGGTGGGGTGGGATGATGTGGGATGTTCATTGCTGCAGGGGCAGGTGTAGGAACTTATACATATTTAGCGTGGGTATGTACGTGCCTTCCGCGAGGCAGACAGGTCCAGAAGCCGAGCGCGGCTCCCGCCGCCAAGAAGACGAAGAAGAACAGCGAATTCCTCAGCATCGCACCGGCTTCCCCCAGCACTGTTGCGGAAAAGAGGGAGCTGCAGCTGGAGTCTTGCAGCCCTTAGCTCAATTGCCTTGCGGCCCCGGGTTTCGCAGAGTTCAAAGTATGGGTCATGTTATGAAGAATAGACACCAGGACTGCCAGGCATATCTGACACGGTGAGGAACATTGTCAGGAAAAGACGTACAAATACTTGCGGTAGTTGTTGCGCAAGGAAAACAACCTCAACTTCAACTTTCTCCAGGGCACAAATGTAAAACCGCATGACCACTGCAAGCTTCTGCTCAAAAGCCTCCAGCCTTGCTTGAACTGAGGCTGGCCATGAAACTCAACGCTGGTGACAAAAAGATTGGTCGTTCCAGATATATTGCTACCCATATATACATATATATATTTATTTATTTATTCTATTATCTATTATTGCTTGGCACTAGAAACTGATCCTTTATGAAGCAAATATTTCATTTCATATCTTCTTCAAATAAATATGAATTTCATCAATAATATTCGAGATTATGAACATTATTAACAAATGGTAATATATAGAAGATAGTGTATGACGAGTCGCCTATTTGTAGTATTTTTTGTCTTTTCTGATAGATTTTGATCATTATTCATAAAATTGTAATGGCTTTTCTTCTAACTATATATATATATAATATCGGGTATTCTATTCTTTGTCTCCTGCTCCCGGTCCCCTAAATTTTTGCTTAATATTTGAATAATTTGATTGAATTTTAATCTCCACTATGAAAAAGGCGTTAATTCTGAAATATTTTTTAGAAAAAGAATTCTGGTAAAATTTCTGGTCTTGATGATTATATTGTTTTAGATGTCGTAGAAAATTCTAAAGCAGTAATTCAATGATTGTCATACGAATAGTGAATTGCTGTCGCTCGTAGGGGATTAGTTAATACGAATAATGAATCTTCCGATATAAGTGAGATATTAATACGAAAAGAATCTTATCTATATTTTTTCTATCTTTTATACTGAAAAAGTTAAATAAATCGATATTTAGATTCTATTTTGATAAAATGAAACAAGATTCTTGTTGCGATATTTGATTATTTATATTCTTTCAATATATATAATAAAAATTTGCAATCTGGGCATATAATTTTTGGTGTTTCTGAATATATATTCTCTAATAAAACGGTGTCGTGCTGGTCGCCTCCGTTTTTTTGGGCGCGCCCCTGGCCCCTGGAACCTCGTACTTTGGCGCGTTTCCTTTTGAAAGCCTCTTGTGCCTCTCTCGCGGTACTAAAATTTCGGAAATTTTGGTACCGGGAGCAATTTCTTCCTGCTACTAAAATTTCCGAAATTTTGTGCCTTTAGGAAATCTCGCGGTAGTAAAATTTCGGAAATTTTGGTTGCTCGAGCGGGACACGCTCCCGGTAATGAAATTTCCGAAGTTTTCGGTAGGCATTCTCGCGGTCATAAAATTTCCGAAATTTTTGGGACATGCTCGCGGTAATAAAACTTCCGAAATTTTAGTACCGGGAGCATGTACTTCAGACATGCTCGCGGCAATAAAATTTCCGAAATTTTAGTACC